CTTGTGTTTTAGAGATGTTAAAGGACCACTATAGGCACCCAGACACGTCAGCTTAATGAAGTGGTCTGGGTGCCATGTCCATTTAGGTTTAACCCTTTTTGCTGAAACATAGCCGTTTCAGAGAAACGGCTATGTTTACATTAGGGTTAATCCAACCTCTAGTGGCTGTCTCATTGACAGCCGTTAGAGGCGCTTCTCACTGTGATTTTCACAGTGAGAAGATGCCAGCATCCAAAGGAAAGCATTGAGAATGCTTTCCTATGAGACTGGCTGAATGCGCGCGCATTCAGCCAGGGACGTCAGAAGAGGGAGGAGAGTCCCAGCGCCGAGGGAGCCCGGCGCTGGAAAAAAGGAAATGGATTAACCCCTTCAGCCCGGCGGGTTTGTTTTCCTGGCACTATAGTGGTCCTTTAAGTTTGTAGTGGGAACACTTACTGTATTTGGAGAGGGTATCATGAAAGTTCGGCAATGAGATAAAGGGTTGCTCTAGCGTAAGGAGTATGCCATCTGCGAATAATGATAATTTGTATTCGTGACCTTGACTGGTAAACCCATGGATAATCGGATTGTCTCTTATTAGTTGTGTGAGTGGTTCTAGGAATAGGATGTAGAGTTGATAGGGGGCAGCCCTGCCTGGAGCCATTTGATATTGTAAAATGTTTTGAGATAAAGCCTCATTTGGTGACTCTTGCTGATGGTGTTGAATATAAATGCTGATACAAGGGCTAGGAAGTCAGTGGGAAATCCGAACTTTTGCAGGACCGCGCGGAGAAAGGGCCAGTGCAGCCTGTCAAACACTTTCTCCGCGAAGAGAGAGAAGCATGCGGTGCGCCCCTCCTCCCTGCGTCCCGCTTAACAATTTTAAGATTTTCCATGTACCGTTCGCCCCCTGCTGCTGACAAACTTCACTTGATCTTCATGAATCAGGGATGGAATTATTGGTGCCATTCTGTTGGAGAAGATCTTGGCTATCAATTTAACATCGGTATTAAGAAGGGAGATTGGTCACAGATTTTGGCATTTGGTGGGGAGCTTTCTGGCTCTTGGGATAGTGGCCACATGTGCCATTAGCATTTCTGATGTAATCTGACCTGTTTGCAGAATTTGGCTGAATGTTTGTTTTCCAAATGGGGGGCTAGGAAAGTGGCAAATTTCTTATAGTATGCGTTTGTCAGGACATCTGGTCCTGGGGACTTGCCTTGGGAAAGAGAATTACTAGTTTACAGGATCTCCTGCGTTGTTATAGGCGCTCGTATTGTTTATCTTTGTTGGTCTGTCAGCAATGGCAGAGTGGTGAGTTGTAAGAACTCTGTAATTGATGTAGGTCCTGGTCGTCCTTGAGATTATACAATGTGTAGTAATAAGCTATAGCATCATTTATGTGACGAGACCAATCTCGCCACATTGCATTGGAGAAGCCTGGTTGCCCGCCTGCTGCCCCTGGACTATGGCCCCCTTTTAAAAGACATCTTTTTTTACCTGCAGAAAAGCTTCATTCGTGCTTTTCTGTCTGGGGTTCGGTAGATTTGTTTGAATGTGTTATACCCCAGATAGGAATCCCATGGAGCCCATTCGTATGAAACTGACTGTAAAGACTTTGGCTCCATGGCGATTAAACTGTATTTGTGTGGTCCGAGCGCCATTCACTTAATAATGTTCGCTCAGACCTGAGCTATCTGGGGATAGGTGAAATGTCTGTGTGTTATGTGTAAAATGTAACTTTATGTATTTTAAAGTGTTTTACTGTCTTTGTGTCTTTTTGCAACCATGTGCTTAATGGAGTCTTGTGTCTGTCCTGGGAGATAATTCAATTACTTATCTCCAGGATAGAAGACTCTGAAACTGGTTTGGGCCAGAAAGCCATGCTTCATTTAGTCACAAAGGACTTTTTACCAACTTTTGAACCCCTTGTCTGATTTGTGCCATTTTTGAATATGTTGTTCCCCTGAATGGATTGATTGTGCATATGTAATTTTATGTGAATGTGATGTATGGTTTTAGAGTTATGAAAGTTGGGTAGAAAGTATGTTTTAACTGTATGTATAATTGGGTTTCCTCTCAGGATAAGGGGAGGGAATATGTGGGATGTAACTGTGATGTGATTGGTTGTTTTATACCTCCCTGTGGGCGGTCCTGTATTTGCAAGACTGTAATAAAAACCAGGCTGGGTGTGCCAGCACCTCAGACCACTGCTTGACCCTCAACACGGAGCCTTGTTTCGTCTTTGGGGGGATTCACTGTATGCTGTTAGAGACTGATTGCCAGGAGTGTAAGCTGATTGTCTGCTTTTCCTGTTCGTCTGCTAGCAGCTATTCGGGAGGTTCCAGTTCAGGAGTTGGAGTGCTATTTTGTATCCAGTTCGGGAGTCTGGTGTTCTGCAGTAGCTGTGCCTGTATCTCTGGAAAGGGGGCCGATCGCCTAAACGGTTTTTACCCCTTGTGTGCAAAACGGTCCGTTACAATTTACATCTTGTGGGCTGTCTATTTTGGTGCCTTTGTCTGTGAGCAAATATGGTATTTTGGAATTGGCTTGTTTTTGTCATAATAACATTGCTAAATGTTTCCCTGCTTTGTTTCCTTGGGAGTATGTTTTTGCTTCAGTTTCTGTAGTATGTGTGTAGTCTTTGACAATGCTATCATGTATCAGTTGGGCATTCGTTGTGTCCCATAGAGTGCGCAAAAGGGTGGGCATTCTTTTTTAATTAGGAGGCGTGACTTATTAGGTCCCTAATGACTGGTTTGTGGGCTTGCCATAAAGTTGCTGAGGGGATGTCTGGGGTGTTGTTGATTTAAACATATGTTTGGAGGGCAAATGTGCTATTGTGTAGAAGTGAGTCATTAACATGCCAGGGTGTTTTCCCTCTGTGTTGATAATCATCTCTAAGTTCTAGTATGGTTGGTGCATGGTCCGACCTCACTAGGTCTCCTATGTCACTTTCAGTATCCCTAGGTAGAAGAGGACCTGCCAATAGAATGAGGTCTGTCCTGGAGTAAGATTTATGTACCGTGGAGGGATATGTAAAGGTTCGTTCATTAGGGTGGTACGTTCGCAAGTGTAGTGTAACCCATATTCCCCTAGTAATTTATTTAATGCTTTGCTTTGAGATTTCACTGCTAGGTTCCTAGGGGCTTTTTCATGAATGGTGGTGTCCATGTGGGAGTCCAGAGGGTGATTCAAGTCCCCACACAGAATCACTGAGGCAGCATGTAGTTTGGGTATTTTCATTAGGACCTTGTGGAGGAAATTCCTTTGGTTTGTACTTGGACAATAAAAGCTAACTAGTACCTATGGCAGATCGTTAATGAGACATTGGAGTATAATAAACCTGCCTTGGCTATCCTTTTTAATATGGAGGAGTTCTATAGACAGGGATGTGTGTAGGAGGATTGATACTCCCTTCGATTTGGAGGTATGGGTTGCATGGTATTGGTGGGGGTAGTCTTGAAATGCAAACTTTGGCACTCTAGCCACGACAAAGAGTGTTTCCTGAATACATAGAATGTCAGCTCTCAAGCACTTGGCATCCTCTAGCAAAACACGCCTTTTATGGAGGGTATTGAGCCCTTGGGTGTTGTGTTAATATATTCTCATGTTATTGGTTTATTGTGAAGGTAGTTCATGAGCTGTGGCTCCACTGTCACAGAATTATATATTAATTGCATAGGTACTGGAGATGGCATTTGTCCCCTTGCCAGCATGGTCTTTTGACATGCTAGGAGTAGAATGGGCGAGAGGGGAAAGGGAAACATTAAGGAGTAAAAACCAAAGCAAATACAATGTGACCCTAATGTTGGCCTTAGCTCATATGGTACGTGTCATGGGGCTTGAGTACGCTATACATCTCATGTTGTGTGGCCATTCGGCTCTCATGTGAGAAGTAATAGAGCCTCAGAGTGCTAGTTTGAGGTGGTATACATATCTACTGTTCAAACCACTATCATTGCAGTATTAACTAGGTTCGTAGCGGTGTGTGTTCAGCAGCGTGGTACTGTTTACAAGGTGTAATGGGAAAGGGTCTTTGAGCTTTGTGTCCCTTTGTCATATTGGTGTGCCGCAGCGTACATACCCCGGTCGCAGCTGCGACCGGGCCCGTCACTCCAGGGGGCCCGGCCGCCCTGCGGACCCCCACAACTGGGTACCAGCCGCTACGTTTTGCGGCCCCGGCCCGCACGGCAAACCACTGGGGCTGCATGTTAAGGGGTCCATCAGGTGGCCCATGCTGTCAGGGCCACCCGATGGATATGGATTATAAGGGGGCCCGGTCTGCGCTGGTTAGCAGCAAGACAGGGCCCCCTGTGATTACATCACTGCTGGGAGGAAGTGACTCCACGGTCACTCCTCCCAGCTAACAGAGCTCGCGCAGGAGGAAGGAGGAGGGAGTCAGAGTGGGAACTCTGACTCCTATCAGGCTGAGCCCCCACTGGACCCCAGGAAAAGCTACAAAAGGTAGGAAACATTTTCTATATGTCTCTGTGTGTGTCTGTCTGTGTATGTTATTGTCTGTCTGTATGTGTGTGAGGTGGGGCCCATGGATCGGGGGAGGGAAGGGAGGGGGGGCCATGGATCAGTTTTGCACCGGGGCCCCACGGATTTTGTGATGCCACTGTTGGTGTGAGCATTTATTTGGATTTGACATGTGATAAAGTATACTTCGCACAGTTAAGGAATATCATTAGATGTTGCGTCTATGGTCCTCATTGGGCACGATGTGAGGCCTGGTAGGCTACACTTATGTATTATAGATTAACCACTGGGTTACAGTTGTGCTGAACTCAATATAGCAAACACATCAAGTTAGATCAGATAACATGTTTTGAAACTCTAACTAATATCTTGGGTAAACAGTGGTATAAAGAATATCTCTTTTTAAACATTTGTACATATATTGTCTATACTTGCGACTGGGTTTGTATTGATCGATGCGACATCCAGTAACATCCACATTTAAGCAGAGACTGTGCTCCACTCCGATGGTAGACGACCTGGAGGGCTGGCAGGTTTCAGCGGGGGTTTAGTGAGTAGACCCCATTCCCGGTGCTGTTTAAGGCCATCTTAAGGTGTGTGGGGATAAATTTTATTCCGCAGTTCTTCGTGATCAGGAGTTTGGTAAAAGAACCCCAGCGGTATCGGATCCCAGTGTTGCATAGCTCCTCCGTTATTGCGGGGAAGTCCTTTCTGCTTTTGAGAGTCGCTAATGAGAGGTCCGCCATAATTTTCACCGTGGGGAAGTCTGCATGTGTGTCCGACATGTTCCTACTGGTGCGTAGTACAATCTCTTTTATGTGGAAATAATGAGCCCTCAGCAAGACATCTCGTGGGACCGAATCGGTAAGCTCCGCGGTTTAGGGACTCTATGTACCCTGTCTACCAGAAGCATATCTACCGGTATTTCAGGAGCAAATGCCTGACGTAGGCTTGTAGGTCGCAAGGGAGAACGTCCTTTGGTATTCCTCGTAGGTGGAGGTTGTTTCTCCATGATCTGTCTTCAGAGTCTGCCATATGGACCTCCATGAGCTCTATTTTATGCTCAAGTGCTTGAACGTGGTCTGCTATATCGTTATGGGCCTTGGTGAACTCACTGAGTTTTTGCTCCACATGTGCCATTGCGTTCCCGATCTCCAGGACCTGTTTTAGTAGAAACATAGAAGCATAGTATGTGACGGCAGATAAGAACCATTCGGCCCATCTAGTCTGCCCAATTTTCTAAATACTTTCATTAGTCCCTGGTCTTATCTTATAGCTAGGATAGCCTTATGCCTATCCCACGCATGCTTAAACTCCTTTACTGTGTTAACCGCTACCATTTTAGCTGGAATGCTATTCCATGCATCCATTACCCTCTATGTAAAGTAATACTTCCTGATAATATTTTTAAACCTTTGCAGCTCTAATTTAAGACTGTCCTCTTGTTGTGGTAGTTTTTCTTTTTTTAAATATAGTCTCCTCCTTTACTGTGATTCCCTTTATGTATTTAATTTTTATAACATATCCCCCCTGTCTCGTCTATTCTCCAAGCTATACATGTTAAGATCCTTTAACCTTTCCTTGTAAATTTTATCCTGTAATCCATAAACCAGATTAGTAGCCCTTCTCTGAACTCTCTTCAATATCCTTCTGAAGATACGGTCTCCAGTACTGTGTACAATAATCCAAGTGAGGTCTCACCAGTGTTCTGTACAATGGCATGAGCACTTTCCTCTTTCTCTTGCTAATACCTCTCCCTATACAACCAAGCATTCTGCTAGCATTTCCTGCTGCTCTATTACATTGACTGCCTACCTTTAAGTCATCTGAAATAATTACCCCTAAATCCCTTTCCTCAGATGTTGAGTTTAGGACTCTATCAAATATTCTGTACTCTGCCGTTGGGTTTTTAGGTCCAAGATGCATTGTCTTGCACTTATGCACATTAAATGTCAGCTGCCACAGCTCTGACCATTTTTCTAGTTTACCTAAATCATTTGCCATTTGGCTTATCTTTTTTTCTCAATTGCTTTTTATTTAGTATTGCAGAAAAAGAAGTCTAGTACAAGCTACGTGAATTCCAGTGCATACGTGCTCTGATTGTCATGCTCATTGATTAGAATTTGTACTGATATCATTTATCAGTCCATAAAGCTCCAAATTACCATTTCCGGAATACCTTTTAATAGTTTACATAGAACATGGGAAATTAAAAATCAGAATTTCACTTTAACATATCACAGCTACTCTTCCTGCCAGATCATTAATTTATTTGGATATATTTTCAGAAACTATTGTGATATAGGTCATTAATAGTCTATAACAATAACCTGTTTATGTTTTTTCAAGAAAAAAACACATTTTCCTCACCTTTTCTAGAGTTCTCGAGGAGATGTGCTTTACTCAAAGGAGATATTAGCCAAAACAGATGCTATGCTGGGTGCAAAGTGCTAAATGTTGAGAAATATTCTCTAGGTTTCCAAGGTGATAGCTCCTATTTAGCACTTTGCTCCATAATAGCACTAATTTTGCCTATTATAAATCCCCCCTCTATTCTGACACTTCACAATAGAATAATTAACCATTACTCAATACTGAGAGCTATCCACAGAAAGCAAACCCTAAGCAGAACATAAGTGAGAAATATAAGCATGCAGAACAACCCGAACTTTACTAAAATTTCCTTTGTTACAAAATTTAATGAAACAATTATTTACCTACATAAAAATAAGGCAATACAAGGGCAACATAACTCACAAAAGCCACAATTACAGAATATTAGGTTAGGTTTGTGTGTATCCTTACATATGTACTGGACTAAACACATACATGTACATATGACAATAAGGTATTTGTTTTCTACAGTGACAAGATACATTGGGCACTAACTTTTGCAGCTACAGGTAAAACACAATCAAATGGTAGCACAGGCCCTGTGTTTTGTGTACTCTTACGCTATATAGAACACTAAATAAGCCCTATAGAATTTACATATTTCATTCAGGTATAAGAAAGAATTCAGAGAGAATGATGATGCTCATGTCTTTTGATGGTATTATTAAATATGTCTCTTCTTTGCCTGCAGATACCAGGTCTGGCAGTTGCTACTTGGAAACAAAACCTCGGGGAGATAATGGAGAGTTGTCCTGCAGCACCGAAGTAGGAATTGGTGTTTCAAAGGCTTCGTGTTGTTTTTTTTTTTGAATATTTAATCTTTATTTTGTATTTTTCTTTTTTTTTTTTATCCTTGTTAAATACATATATCATACAAATACATATATCATACAAATGTACAATACACAAACGACATAGCAGCAAAATAGGGGAGGGGAAAGAAAAATACATCAGGAAAAAATTTCCATAATTGAGTGGTAAAATCATTTAGATAAATCTTAATTATTTACAATGTTCATGGGATTACTCTACATCTAATTGATCAGCATTATTTTCTACACCAATCATCTCTATGCATTTTGACCAGACAGAAACCTTATTACTTAATCTTTGTTTACTTAGCATCAACTCCATTTTAATCTGAAACTCGAGTTGAATTTTAACTTTCTTCCAGGGGACTTCTAAGTCCTTTTTCCACCATTTCGCAATTACTATTTTAGCAGCTAAAAAAAGATGTATAAGAATTGCTTTTAACTCATATGTCATATGAGGCCAATTTAGATGTAACAGAACTACCTCTGGAGAAATTGTCAACTCGAGTTTTAAATTATTGAATATAAAATGCTGTATTTTCAACCAGAGATTCTTTAATTTATGGCAATCCCACCAAATATGTCTAAAATTGCCTCTAATACTATTACATCTCCAACAAATAGGGTTAGCTAAAGGATAAATTTTATTCAATTTAGCGGGTACTAAGTACCACCTATTTAAAACTTTAAAGTGAGTTTCTAATAGATTTAATGAATGTATATTTTTCTTAACATCCATCATTGAAGAACCCCATTGATTCGAATTAATATCAATGTCCAGTTCTTGTTTCCAAACCTGTATGGCAGTAGGGTTTGTATCCTTGGCCATTGATTTAATTAATATCAAAGCTTTGGAAAGTGGTTTATTGATTTTTTTTGACGTAAATAATAAATCTATCAAATTGCTCAAATTAGATTTTGGTATTATATGGTGTATATTCATATAACTTTTAAGTCTTAAAAAATTAAACATCTCTCTAGAAGGGAGATTATATACCCCTGTTATTTGAGCAAAAGTTTTGATTGATCCTTCTATCAATAGTTGGTCCAAAGTCTTTATCCCTTCTTTTTTCCAATTATTTAAATTTAAATCTTCCACTTGTTTTTCTACAGTGTCTAATTCTAAGTAACTTGGGACTTTTTTTTCTATATTCATTGCTTTTTTAATTTTTAACCAGTTTTCTAATAATTGAGTTAAAATAATACTAGCATACTCTTTTTTCTTTGACATTTTATTTATGTTCCAAATTAGACAGTCTAAGCTAGAGACTTCTCCTGCCTTCATTTCCATTTTATACCATCCCTCATCTTTATTTTCTTTAATTTGCATTCTATACACGTGTAAGATAGTAGCTGCTTTAAAATTATTCATTATAAATAGATAGTCAAGTCCGCCTTTATGTATTTTCTGCACTAATATTGACTGCTTCAATCTTGGCTTCTTGCCTTTCCAAATGTATTGAGTAAAACTTCTTTGTATTAATTGAAGCCAATGGATTGGGATATGGAGAGGTAACATTTGAAACATATAGTTCCACTTTGGTATGACATATGAATTAATGACATTTATTCGTCCCCAAAAGGTAATCTCAAGATTTCTGCGATCTTTTAACCATTTATTAAGGTCTAGTAATAATGTTAAGAAGTTTACTTCCATAATCTTGTTTATCTCTCTAGTTATTTTTATTCCTAAGTAATCCATACTTTCTTTGACCCAAATAAAATCATATTTATTTTTAATCTCTTGTTGCATCTTTTTGTCAAGATTAACATCTAATATCAGAGATTTATTTGTATTTAACTTATAATTTGATATAAGACTATATCGCTCTATTTCTTGCATTATATACTCTAAAGAATTTTTAGGGTTTGTAAGAGTAATTAAAATGTCATCAGCATATAGACTGATTTTTTTGATCCTCATCCATTATTTTATAACCGTAAATCTCTTTATTATTTCTAATATTCTCAGCCAATGGCTCGATAGTCAGCAAGTAGAGTAATGGTGAGAGGGGACAACCCTGCCGAGTGCCATTTCTAAGTTGGAACCATGGGGCGACAATATTAGGTCCAATAGTCCGTGCAACTGGATTTACATATAGTGCCATTATGGCTTTCTTAATCCAACCTTCCAATCCATAGTGTGATAAAACGGCTTCTAAGTATTTCCAGCTGACTCTGTCGAATGCTTTTTCAGCATCAATCGACAGAGTCAGAACTGGAACATCTTTTCTATTTGCATCATCCAGAATATTAATAATTTTCCTTATACTTGTGTAGGAGTTTCTGCCTGGTACATATCCTATTTGATCTTTATGGATAATCAATGGAAGAGGTTTTTTTATTCTAGCAGCCAAAACCGAAGCATATAACTTAGTGTCTACATCTATTAAAGATATCGGACGATAATTTTTGATGTCAGTGGGGTTTTTATCATTTTTCAAAATAGACAAAATATTAGCTTTAAGCATTTCTGCTGGTAAAAATCCTCTGTTTGCTGCTATGTTAAAAGCAGAGGTCAAATGTGGACATATTAAATCTTTAAATGTTTTATAAAAAAGGTTGCTAAACCCATCCGG